TCAAACTAGATATGGCGAAAGCCTATAATAGGGTTGAATGGAAGTTTTGGCACTCATGCTTACAAAAATAGGTGTTGATTTAATGGAGAGGCTAAAGGATACATTAAGCCCTCTCGAGGGATTAGACAAGGGGACCCATTGTCCCCTTATCCCTTTCTAATTTGTTCTGAAGCCTTTTCAAATTTTATTAAGTTAGCAATTAGAAGAAATGAGCTAACTGGAGTGAGAATTAGCAAGTTTGGGCCAGAGATTACCCACCTTTTGTTTGCGGATTATGCTTTATTATTTTGTAAAATTGAAAGTATTCAGATAGAAAGTATTAAAAAAATATTGGAGAATTATGGGGGAAAAAATACTCATATAGCGCATGAGTATTTTCATTACTTTAATAATTTAAGGGGGAAAAAAAAGGAAGGATATGTTGCTATCAAACTAGATATGGCGAAAGCCTATAATAGGGTTGAATGGAAGTTTTGGCACTCATGCTTACAAAAATAGGTGTTGATTTAATGGAGAGGCTAAAGGATACATTAAGCCCTCTCGAGGGATTAGACAAGGGGACCCATTGTCCCCTTATCCCTTTCTAATTTGTTCTGAAGCCTTTTCAAATTTTATTAAGTTAGCAATTAGAAGAAATGAGCTAACTGGAGTGAGAATTAGCAAGTTTGGGCCAGAGATTACCCACCTTTTGTTTGCGGATTATGCTTTATTATTTTGTAAAATTGAAAGTATTCAGATAGAAAGTATTAAAAAAATATTGGAGAATTATGGGGGAAAAAATACTCATATAGCGCATGAGTATTTTCATTACTTTAATAATTTAAGGGGGAAAAAAAAGGAAGGATATGTTGCTATCAAACTAGATATGGCGAAAGCCTATAATAGGGTTGAATGGAAGTTTTGGCACTCATGCTTACAAAAATAGGTGTTGATTTAATGGAGAGGCTAAAGGATACATTAAGCCCTCTCGAGGGATTAGACAAGGGGACCCATTGTCCCCTTATCCCTTTCTAATTTGTTCTGAAGCCTTTTCAAATTTTATTAAGTTAGCAATTAGAAGAAATGAGCTAACTGGAGTGAGAATTAGCAAGTTTGGGCCAGAGATTACCCACCTTTTGTTTGCGGATTATGCTTTATTATTTTGTAAAATTGAAAGTATTCAGATAGAAAGTATTAAAAAAATATTGGAGAATTATGGGATTGTTCAGGACAGAAAGTGAATTGGGACAAATCATCAATATTCTTTAGTAAAAATGTACCTATTTTAAATAGAACTGCAATTAGTATGCAGCTAAATGGTATTCAAGTACAATGTAAGTCTAAGTAATTAGGGTTGCCACTTGTAATAGGAAAGTCTAAGGCGGAAGTCTTCAAATATGTTGAAGAAGCTGCTTCTAACAAGATTAAAAATTGGAAAAATAAATTGCTTTCCCCTGCAGGAAAGGAAGTGCTACTGAAGTCTGTAATCGAAGCATTACCGGTTTATGCTATGTCCTGTTATAAGCAGACTGAGACGGTTTGTCGTAGTATTTAGAGGAAGATGGCCAGTTTCTAGTGGGGTGATGGGAAGGAGAAAAAGAGAGTACATTGGGGTTCCTGGGAGAAACTAGCTAAGGAGAAGGAAAAAAAGAGGATTAGGGTTCAGAAGTTTAGCATCAATAGAACGAGGCGTTGTTATCTAAACAAATCTGGAGGCTGATTAATGAGCCTAATTCCTTGATGGCTAACGTAATGAAGGAAAAGTATTATGCTAATAGCTCTCTATTTAAAGCAAAACAAAAGGGCAGTGATTCCTGGCTGTTAAAGGGGTAGTTGAGGGCTAGTAAAGGGGTGCAGATTGAAATGGAAAATAGGGGACGACAGGTCAGTAAACAGATGGGAAGATAATTGGCTCCCGGAAGGGTGTCAAGTGGGATTGCAGGGAAGAGGGGGTAGAAATCAAAATCCAGGTTTGGTTATAGTGTCACAGTTAATAGATCCTAGGTCAATGCAATGGGAACCGGGACTTCTAAACCCAAGGAGGCAAACTTAGTGCAACAGATACCAATCAGTAAGTGTGGGGGATGTGATGTGCAGATGTGGGGTGGGGAAGTTAGTGGAATGTTCACAGTATAATCTGCCTTTAAAGGAGTAGAAAATGATTGAGAAGAGGGGAGAAGTGTGGGTGAATCGAGTGGGGGAAGAGAGGAAATGAGGAGAATAGGGTCCAAGTCTTGGCAGCTATCTGTCAAAGCCAAGCTTCGACACTTTATATGGAAGCTGTTTAAATGATGGGTTTCAGTTAACACTGTGCTGAGAAGTAGAGGGATGAGGATTGATGAGGTTTATAAAACGTGTGGTTTGGGGGCTGAGAGTATAGAACATATGTTATTCTCATGTGAGTTGGCTAAACTAGTCTGGAAAATAGCACCAGTGAAGTGGGGTGGGTTGCAGAGTATGGAAGGAAATTTTGCAGATTGGTGGGGAGCATTGATGAACATTGAATCAGGGCAAGAAGTGCAAGCAAGAATTGAGCTGACTGTTTATATCTTGTGGCACCTGTGGAAAGCCAGAAACTCATGGTGATTCGGAGAACAAAAAGTGGAAGCACATGAAGTAATACAGAAGGCAGAAAGAGAATGGGTTGAGTTTCTACAAGCTCATCCAAGAAAACAGATGCAGAGAAGAGAGGAAGGCAATTCAGGCTAGCAAGTTCCTACAAATGAGGTGATCAGAGTTAATGTGGGCTCTGCAATGCAACAAGAAGACAGGATAGCAGGCTTGGGAATCACCATTAAAGATTATAAAGGTACTCTGATTATAGTACAAGCTATTTTTCAGTCACATGCAGTAAGGACAGCATTGTTTGAAGCCCAACGTAGAGATGTAAAGTATGTGGAAGTCCAATTAGATGCTAAGGTTATGGTTATTTGGCTACAGGAGAGTATTTCTCCTATGGCAGATGTGATCACCATAACCAACGACATCTTATTGATGAAAACATATTTTGATAGCTGTAAATTTCTGTTAATAAAGAAGGAATGGAATTCAACTTGTCACAATCTTGCCAAATTAGGCTTAGCTAGCAAATGTACACAAAATTGGGATAGTAATTCCCTTTTGTGGCTAGAGAAGTTGTTTAAGGAAGATTGTCTTAGCCCTTCGTAATTACGCTTTATCTCTTTTTATCTGTAAATATGATTATCGCCTTTGACAAAAAAAAAAAAAGTGATAGTAAAATGTGATATACTTGGAGGTAATTGCAAAAATGCCCCTGTCAATTTCAACTATTGTTCGAGTTTTTACTTTTGCAAGTAGTATCTCATCCACTTTGCCCCGTGCTAAGGTTCTATAATTGGCTCATCTTTAAAATATTACTATCTCTGTACCAAAAAAAAATATTTAAAATTTTGAGATTTATACTAAAAATCAATATAGATTGTTTCTTTTTGGGGGGATAGAGTGAGTATTAAAGCTTTTTTAATGTATCTATAAAGTGATATGTAAAGATAGGTTTAGTTCGAAGAAATTCATGTTAATATTAGTCAAAAAAAAAAAGTCTCGGAAGCCTACATGTATTATTTTATCCATTAAGTTGTTTCTTGGCCACCCGATGCACTCTCTCTACTGTAGACCTATTAATTTTACCAATCTTAAACTCCACGAGATTAATTGACAAGAGTAAGGTGCTTGGTTTTATTTTATTTCACAATTGAGTTCAAAACTAAAATAAAATAAAATAGTGAAGTATGTGTTGGACATCGTGGAAATGAGTAAAAATAGCAAAATAATACAATTTTTAGCATGAAATGTTGGATCAGTGTCGTGTAATAGCATTAAATTTTTGTCGCTCCTGTCAAAAAGTGTAGTGACATGCGAAACACTAGAGTTTACTCCATCTATTATTTTTATGATAACTAAATTTTTTACATGTCAACAAGACTAGTCTAATTTAATTATTTGTCCCATTTGACTGACGATACTTTATCTTTTACATTTCATTTATTAGTTATTTTTATTCTTCAAATGTCTTCAGATTTATTTACATAAAACGAAAGAAATAGTATTTTTGGAGTAGTTAAAAACAGATTTTCGTTAAAAAAAAAAAAAGAAAAGGTCAAAAACACTAAAAACTAAAACAGTGGGATCATATGTTAATTTCCTTATATAGAAGGACCCTAAAACAAATTAAATGTGGGAGAGTAGAAAATAAATATGTAGAATTCATTTCCCACAATTCCCAGTTCCCACACATTTTGCCGCCTCCATATTCTCCGACGACGCCGACGCCGACGCCGCCACCTCGATTAACATCCTTGCTCCAATACAGTTGAAGACTGCAATAAACCTGTATTAAGATTCTCGGAAACCCTGTGGAGAAAATGTGTATCAGATCTGACTTTCCATCGGTTACAGCCATGATCCGGATGCAATGTCTCAATCACTGCTATGCAGATTTCAATCAATTCTTTCAAGTGGAGTCAAGTTCCCTTGAGTTCCTTGCTAAACAGTTCACTTTGGGTAGATTGGGTGTTTCAATAGTTAGATGGCAGAGCAATCAGTTGAATCCTGTAACATTATAAAATTTGTTGATGATAGTTTCTTTAATCAAATTTGTTGATGATGTTGGGACCCAAAGAGACCGGCCCGGTTGAATCTAGATTAGTCAGAGCAATGATTTTAAATATCGGTGCGTAATATACCATAAAAAAAATTTGCATACAAAATTTTGTTGCATATAGCTTGGGAATGGTGAATTGATTTGAGATATAGTTATTTCGATATCTATCTCATTTCCCACATTCTGTACTTATCAGACTTCAGGGGCTATGGCCAAGTAATAATAGTCAACAAACAAACAATGAAGAATTGTCATTTATATTTCCATAAATTTGCCATTCTGAAACCGAAAATCTCTACTTTCTCTACACTGTAGATTTGACAAATTAAACAAATGGAATGATCAACTATATATATAGCTAGTTATGTTGTGTAAATCTTATGGACAAAGAAATGGATGACTACTTGGGTTCCACTTTTGCAGAATATGTGTATCCACCACTGTAGTCGAAAGCATGGTCGCTTTCATTATTAACATCTTTCCTAGGCATTGAATCGTAGAGGCTTTTTCCACCACCATTTGGGATTCCAAAATCCGTGGCGGATGAGGTTGCCGAAGTTGAGTTCGTGTTTAGGCCATCGTTCTGCAGAATCGTCTCGATTGCCTTGACTACTTCTCCCATGGTTGGACGATCTGCTGCCGATTCTTCCACGCATTGCATCGCTAAATCCACGAATCGACTGAATCCCGCCAGATTTTGTATGGTTTTGATGACAGGGTCCATTATGTTTCTCAGGCCATAACATTCTTCATCGGTTTTGTCCATCATGGTTCTCACTTCACGGACTATGTACTTTCCTTTCTCAATGGGCTGCTTAGCAGTTATCAGCTCAAGCATAACAACACCGAAGCTATACACATCACTCTTTTCAGTCAGTTGTTGAGTCATGTAGTACTCAGGATCTAAATAACCCTGCATCCATTTTTAGAAAAGCGTTGTTACGATGATCATCACCATGCATCAATTCGTGATGTCAAGGTTTATTAACATAGGGAATTTCGTAGAGTAGTTAGAAGGCGGAGAATGAGGTGGATAGATAAATTTGATGCAAATTCTGTGGCACTTACTAGTGTGCCTTTAACTTGAGTAGATACATGTCCTTTGGAAGCGTCCGACACCAGCTTGGATAAACCGAAATCAGCAACCTTTGCTGTCAGATTTTCATCCAGCAGAATGTTGGTGGACTTGACATCCCTGTGGATTATCGGAGGATCAGCTAGCTCGTGTAAATAAGTCAGTCCTCTCGCTGAACCAAGTGCTATTCGAAGCCTTCTCTTCCAATCTAGATAAATCCCGCTTTTTCCTGTAACCCATTATATGTACAAGTCAATCAGGTGCTAATGTACAAAAGAGATGAAGTTTGTTCCATGTAAATGACGTTCTTAGCTCTGCTGTCTTTGTTTCAAAATCTGGTGTTTTTTTTTTTTTTTTTAAGTTCTGAAGATGAAATCCTTCAGGACTCTTAATTGCTTCACGTCAGCCAAACTTATTCTGTTTTTAAGTTCTGCAAGTCTATCAGCATTTTAAAATTCATTGTGTAAGTCATAGCTTGAAGATAATCTAGAAGACTTGGAAATATCTCTGCTATGGATTTCCTGTAATCGGAGTCTATTAGTTTTGTTTCCATACTTTAAGCCAAAAATTGTAAGTTAATGTTAGATTCTTTGTAATGAAGTCGACACATAGCAAGTTGATTGTCATTTCTATTGATCGAGTAAATTTTAATTTCTGTCTTCTACAATCTGTGTTTGTTAAACTAAACTGAAATGTATATCTTCTGCAGTGTCATTCCTTAGTCTGTGAAAAGAAGTGAAGTTACCTGATAAGCTTTCCCTTAAAGTTCCATTGGGCATAAACTCATACACCAACATTTGTTCTCCTTGTTCAAAGCAAAATCCCACAAGGCCAACAAGATTCTTATGATGGACTCGTGAGAGCAGCTCAATTTCCGTCTTGAATTCAAGCCCGCCTTGCATTGAACCTTGTTCGGATCTTTTGATAGCAACAACTTGTCCACTGGGTAGTAAACCTCTATAGACCTGATTCTCACCAAGGAAAATGACGTTAAGACAATTAAGTTATTACAAGAAGAGTTGCAGGATTAAGTTATTGGACAGCAGACCTTTCCATAGCCTCCAGAACCAATCTCATTACTGCTTGAAAAGTTATTTGTGGCTTTCTTCATTTCATCATATGAAAAGAACCGAGCTCCTTTTAGTTGTGGTGCTCCCCCACTATCTTTGCCGCTTGGAACCCAAGATGCTGTTTTGTTGAAGGAATACATGGAAGAATTTCAGTTCATTGGTCAGTACTAGGTTTAAGTGTCAAGCAAACATAAAGAATGAAAATCATACCAAAAGGTTTACTCATTCCTATGGCTCTTTCTGCTCGACGCTTTTGCCAGACAGCATACATCGCTATTCCAACAAGTAACATGACCAGAAAGGTGCCCCCAACTGCCACTGCCGCGATTATCTTTTTGCTTATATTTCCACCACCACCTGTAAACACTCTGTTGTCTAATGATTTTGCATATAGTATAATGGTGGTTGAAATTCATAGAGAATGTTAGTCTTTCATACCTGCAAAGAGGTAAGGTTCTGCTAGAAAGTAGTAAGGTCCAAACTGTGGAGGAGGTTTGTAAATTTGTTTACTTAGAGCATGTCCAAGCCTTTGCACCTCTGTCCGGTTAAAGTGATCTCCGCTGGAGGGAAAAAGGTCCAACTGCACTTCAAGATAGTCATCAACATTGAAGAAGGGATTTTGTAGAGAAACTGAACCAGGTGTCAGGCTTAAATTCACCCAGAGGCTCATTTCCAGTTGATGAAAAATGGTGTCATTCGAAAGGTCCCTAAAGAATGGTCCTCTGAAGTACAGTGTCCCCTCGTATGGATAAGCACAATCGCAGCTTTGTGGGCTCATCTTTTGGTCAGGAGGACATGTTTTCCTCCTACAGTTAGCCAGACTTGTCGAATAGGCTTGTGCGCTTTGTTGGCGAACCTGACAGTAACTACTGTGTTCCAGTGCTTCAACTGTAGTGCAAACCGGATTTCCAATCAAGCTGTTCCAAAGCAGCAAAGAGTGCTTGCATTAGTCAGAGAGGTGAAGGAAGGACAAAACTAGTTAACACAATTTCCAGAATTTGGCTAGAGAATCTCACAGCAAGTTATTTGAGTATCCAGAGCCTACTGTAAGTGCGGTTATCCTGTTGTCCTCCAAATCAATAAGCTGGAGGTTATCATTTATCCTCTGGTCCAAATCTAGTGTACCATTAAATGCATTGTATTTCAGTTTCCTGTCAACAGGAAAAATATCAGCACTTCATTTTACTTGTAGACCGATTTCATATGCTTTGCATTTGCCCTAGGCTTTTTAAATAAATCATACACTTGCTGAATCTGGGGTAAGCTGAACATCCTCTTAGGCACCTCTCCCTTAAGTGATCCATTTTCTGAAATCCTGAACGTAATTTATGTTTCAAGCATTAGATGGAAAGCGAAAGTTTAGTAACTCTTTTGATAGTCACATAAAGTAGTCGAATACAACTCACAGAGTGGTTAGAGACTCCAATGTTGAGAACCATGCCGGTGCTTCTGAGGGTTCGAAAGAATTGTTGCTCAAGTCTCTGGGAAGGAAAACGAAAACATAGATTTCGGTTACAGAAAAATCTAAAAGACGTGGTATAAAGTAATAGACTATAGAAATACTGCAGCTCTCTCTTACATATAGTTGAGGGATACCAGTGAACTGAAGTCTGGAAATGATCCTGATAGCTGATTGTGGCCTAAATTCCTAATGATTGAAGTGATGATGGGCATTACTTGTTTTGGCACTGAAGATCAGGTAAGAACTTATATGAATCTACTCTAATAAGCAAGGCAAACTCACAATTCCATCAAATTTGTTAGGTTGTTCAAGCTTGATGTGACGTTTCCACTAAAATTATTTCGATCAAGCCTCCTGCATTTACAAAGGTAGTGGCAGAGAAATAACTATGAATGAAAGTGGATAGAGAAAACAGAATTTTGACATGGAATAGTTTTGAAACTACTTACAGAACCTCAAGCGTCGCGACATCTCCTAATGTTGGTGGAATTGGTCCACTCAATTGATTTCCATCAAATAGCCTGTCTTTAAGAAGGAGGAGAATTATGAGGATTCTTTTTTGGATTTTCTTTTGGCTATATATTGGTTTACTTCAGAAATCATCAACTTACACATGTATAAGTACATTGTCGCCGCTGAATAGTGGCTCCGGGAGCTCGCCAGAAAGCTGGTTTTTGTTGAAATGGCTGGAGGGAAGAAGAGAAATTTCAGAGTTATCCTTGACAATGAGAAAAAACAATATCTAATCTGGTGGTTATTGAAGGAAACTAACAAGTGCTTAGTATTTTTCAGAAGGTCTAATCCTGGTGAGTTGCGCGTCGAAATAGGTATGGATCCTGTCAACTGATTATCTGCCAGATCAAGCCAGTACAGTTTGGAAAGATAACCCAGAGAAGCCGGTATCTGACCGCTGAAGTTATTCGAGTTAAGAGCTCTGTCAATGAAGCAGAAGCAACACACTAATCAAGCTTTGATAGATCATATAATTATGCAATATACTTCACACAAACCTACAAAGATAAATGTAAAGTTGTAACGCGTTTAGTCATTCCTTACAGGAAGGATAGCTCTTTGAGTTTTCCAATCTCACTTGGTATAGCTCCATTGAACTTACACCCAGCCAGGATTCTGAGAAACAGAGAAAACTATCAAAAGATGACCTTGACAGAATACAGTTTAGAAGTGTTTAGTTGGACAATTACAATGTTGTAAGCTTCGTCAAGTCTCCAATCCGTGGAGTCAGCGAACCAGTGAGGCCTGGATTGAATGACAGATCCCTGAAATAACATTTCCAATGTGTCTCTCAATAACAAATGAAGTTCAAAAACATGATTAAAACTTCCATCTGCTTTTGGGAAAAAGAGAAACTCACAAGGATGTCAATTCACTGAGCTCTCCTATGTCACCACTGAGTTTACCTGATATTCCCATGGTTGATAATCCCCTGATGTCTCCAAGTTCCAAAATAAGTCCACAGACACAGGGATTTATGGAAGGAAATGATCTGGAATACATATATATAAACTGAATAACTTACAGAGTTATGACCCTAGAATCACTACAATTGACTCCTTCCCATGGGCTTCCACACGGATCATCCGATTTTCCCCAAGTTGGTGGTGCATTTTGCCACTGATCTTTCAAAGATCGAAGCGCCGCGACTGCAACATCCCAGTTATTATTCATCAGGGCCATAAACAGATTTTTTTCAAGAATGTGGACAACTGAATAATCATCCTAACAAACTGATACAGAGATATTAATGTACCACACGTGAAAGATGCACAATAAATTTCTCAACCAATTTTCACAGAGCCTAATTGATTACACATTCAAAAATACTACTTTCCATTTGGATCCAAAATATACTACAGAAAACCGAGCAATCCTTTCATCTTTTTCCTCAGGTAGATACAACTTCACAATCAAAAGAACCAGAGATACACTCACTTGTAAGGTATACATTATGTACTGTGATTTCCCAATCAATCAAGAAGCATGCAACAGTGGAAGTATTAGCAAACATAACACATTACCGTCTCGCGGATCAGTATAAGAATATATCCCCTGCCATCCCACAGACATAGCAAGATAAAACAGGAGCAGCAGCCTAAGGGCTGCCATTGTGATGGTGTGGCCTCAAACTCCTTTTTTCCGAAAAATCGAGAAAAACAACGCTCCTGCCACCCGGCTTCAAACTCCACCTGAAAGGACCACTGTCAAAAGAACTAGAGCAGAATGCAGGAAAATCCCAGCATAATATTCTCCCAAAAAATGTTCTTATTCCCTTTCTTTTTGTCTAAGGGAAAATGCTCTAAGTAGTACTTTTTGTTTGATGTTGGCCAAAAAATGGGTGGAAGATGCTGTAGAACAATGATGATTGATTAGTATCTGCCGGCCCAGAGTGAGTAGAAGCAGTAGTGCTTAACTAATCACCATTTTTTTTTGCCTTCAGGTTGGGTGAAGGTTACAAACTTACAATGATGACAAATTCTCCATTTAAACAACCAAAAAAAGATAGGAAAATATCAAAGCGATTACAATGTTGGAAATGATAAAAGTGTGTTGCTACCTTAATTAATTGGCCTGCTTTTCTTCATTGTTTTTTCTTCTCTTTTAATGATGAAAACTTTTCTTAGAAGCCAATCCACCTTTTACTACTATTAACTACAGTATCACTACTTCTACTGCTACTGCTATCGTATGTAATAGGTGTACATTATTTTCAATTCGTCGTTTTGGAACCACAGATCTCGTGATAATAACAATTTTTGCCTTAAATCTTTAAACATTTTACCAAACTCTCTCACCCCGATTCAAATTTATGTCTTTCTTTTTCTCTCGCTTTTAGAAAATAAAAATAATCAGATTTGTTGTATTATTTCCATTCAACTAACCAGACTAATTTTGAAAGATGAATGGAGAAGGTTACTTTGATACCAAAAAAAAAAAAACAGAAAAAAAAAAAACAAAACCATGAAATTTGAAACCAATATACCGGTGATGGAACGCCTATATTATAAAGAAATAGGAGAATATGAAGCGGATAGGAAGGTCGGGTTTGCATTCAAAAACTTGACGTGATCAATAAAAAAAAAAGGACACTAAAAAAAGGACATTATGTGCCCATTCAAACAATGGCATATCTGTTGTTCCCTCCATGTATTGTATAAGTATTTTATTGCCTAAGATTAAATTATACAATCTAGTTCTTCAATTCTAATATAATAGTCCATTGTTGAATTAAAATAATATTATAAAGTAGACTGGTAGAATGAGACGAAACGAATATTCAGTTAAAAAAGATGTATAATCAACACTAACAATAATAATTTAGTCATAAAAGTTCTGCAAATTTGCCGAATGTGCTCTGTCTCCAACAACATCCATCCACTTATTTAAGAGCATTGCCGAAGGGATAAAGGTAATGCGATTCAATCCGCCTGCTGAATTTACACTTCCTTAAGACAGCATTGTGGTAGCCGTCTTTACATTTCTCTTTCTAAGGTTTTTCCTTTGTTATTATTATGTGGAATTAATATATTGGAAAGTGGGCATAAAATAAATAACGAATTAAGTTGGTCAAATTTTTGTTTCTACGAATTCTTGCTGGCTTTTATTTGCTAATTAATTCCAACCACAAGAATTAATTGATAATTTCGGAAGAAGGATGTTTGTGAGTGTATGTGAGTTGTCGAAGAGAATTGTTTGCTTCCCACATGTACAAATATGTGTATAAACTTTTGGAAACTCTTTTACCAATTACTCCTTCTATTCCAAAATTATTGTCCTGTTCGAGATTTCTATTGGGACAAAAGAATCCCACATCGGAGTCGTGAAGGATCTGTCACCTGTTTATAAGTGCCAAAGGCCACCCTACTCATTGCTAATTGGTTTTGAGATGGGAACCCAAGGTGACTTTGACAATTTCACTTTTAGTACAATTTAAACTAGAAATGAAAACTCAAACTGAATAATAATATGGGATGGAAAGAGTAAGTAAGATTGTTAGAAAGTTTATCTTTGAGAAAAGAATCGTATATTTTAGTAATAAAATAATATCTTGGTAGACCAAAAAGAAATTTTGTTTGATGAGTCAAATGAGAATAAAAATTTCTTATAATTTATTTTTGGTCTGAGACAGGTTATTGAGAATTTGATTATTACCTCTAACAAAATTAAACTTTATATGTTCACAAATTTTTAAAAGACGGATTGAGTAAGCACATATAAATAACCCATTACAATTCAACTACATACTAAATGTAGTACAATATTTTGCTATCGTGTTCAATCCCTCTCAGGAAACCTATTTGCTTTTGATTGTAAACAGTCATCATTATAAGTTTCAAAATCTTAAATAAAAAAAATGATTTTTCTTATGGAGAAAATTTAACCTTTATGCTCATTTTTTTAATCCCTCCTCTAAGCATCCCACTGCCATAGTCCACGTGCACATCTAGTTCTGGACATCGAAACCACCACCAAAACAACCTTAGAATGTGAAAATAATCATTAGCTTTTTTGGGTGGGATTTATATAGTTTAAAATTTTAAATAAAATACTGTCAATTTGTAGTATTAACGTCTTTAAACAGCAGTACTAGAGAACCATCAAACTCACAAGTGCCTAACTAAATGGTGCTGTATTTTAACCGTCTTTCAAGCTTCTAAGGTCCAAATCCGGGGTATTAGCGTTAAGGAAAATGATATATATTATGAATAAAACTAGTGACAAAACATAGTGACTGATGTGTACTAATTATGGCCCCTAATTTTTTGTCATTTTCCTGTTGAAGTTTTATTTTTTCTCTAGAATTACATTTTTACCATTGATTAATAATTAATCATGTTCAGTAAGTGTGTGGTGTATTTATCTTTTCATTTGTCACTATCCAAATTCACTATAATTTTTCACTATCTGTATCATTGCTCTAAGGTTAATTAACCGATTCTGTCACTAACTAGTTTGTTCTGGCTCATTGCCCATTAAAATAGTTTAGTAACCTCTCCAACACGTTTTAGTTAAACAACTCACCAGTAAAAATCTTAAATTTCTTGTTCTCGAACATCTTACGAATGACTTTGGACGATATATAACTTAAATTTGATTAGCTAGGCTGGTCACATGCTGAATTTATTAGTCTAGGAAAACTTTTTAATATAGACTTTCTAATATATGAAAAGTTAATTTCTAGCTACCACAAGAGCCTATGTAATCCTACAAAATAATATAGGAAAACTTTCTTTGATCATTAGAAAGAGCTGACCTCTGATTTTCTTACAAAAATTACAAATTCTTGTGAAAGCCGTAGCTTTTTTTCTCGTAGCTCACAAGCTAATTTATGGCTACATTTTTATTGTTCAACATATTTGATCTTCATTTTCACCATCCTACCCTTCACATTCATCTTCTATAAGTTAAAAAATACATGAAATTGCAAAATTGTGTTCATCCAAGTTATGGTCTTCCTTTAACCACATGAAATACGTAACCTACGGGTGCGAACATATATTTGAAGTATATATTTAGAAGAAAATCAGAACTATTATTTTAAATATTATCAAATTGAATTGAAAACTTTTTAAGCAACAACATACATATCAATATAGTTGGATCATACCTTTGATTCCACTTTTAGTATCCTATTTTGAAATGGTATGATTTAGTCATTAAGATAAAACAAAGTCGCTTTATTAAGAACACATAATAAATACCCAAAACTTATGACAAAACATCCATGCAACTTTAATTAATTAGTTTAAAATAGTATTATCGTTAAAAATAAAGAGTCATTGAAAACGCGGGATATGGAGTATCGACATAAAAAATAAATAAATAAAAAAAGAAAAAAAAGAAAAACTAGTTCAAATATATGACACCAATTAGGACGGCAACTCCACAGTTTCCTTGTATCCCACAGCAATTTGAAGCAATTAAAAACCCCCCCAAAAAAAAAAAAAAAAAAAAAAAACCAAAACAAAAAAGAAAGAAATTTTCCACTTAGCTTTTGTATTAGTTTCTTCTGTTTCTTTCTGTTTAGGTCGATCTCAACCAAAAAGCTTAGGTAAAGCATGAATAACGTAGTGATTTCATCCGTGAGATAAAAAAGATAAACGTTAATTTCGACCATACACATCATATGAGGTACCTTCCCGTTAGTAAAAACATTTTATGGACGAAAAATCTCTTGACAATTATTGAAAAATTGAGTTTAGTTCGTTCTTTAGACTTAAATTTATGTGACTTGGAGCTTTTGGTTATACAATACCTTGATAATGCAAAGATATAAGTATAGCGCTCGCTATTAGGGAAGTGGAGAGTGAATTCCTTTTCTTTTAGATACGGTATATTATTGTGCATTCATCATTTTATCTTCCATTAGAAAAAAAAAATCATTTCATCTTGAAAATCAACCCGTATTTGTTTTATTTCGAAATCTAATAGTACTGTTTTTGGTTTCAAAATAATTTGATTATTGAAATAAATACAGTAATGTATTCTTATTTTGAGAAGAAAATTAATACTTCCTCTGGTCTAAAATTATTATCCAGGATTTTCATTTTTAGTATAATTTAAATTAAAAATAAAAATTCAAACTAAACAATAATTTCGGGACAGAAGGAGTATCTGTTTTCATACGAGTTGATGTGACTTGATGGGACGGAAATTAAAGGAAACATTGATCATCTTTGTTTTGCACATTTGGGATGTCTTCAACTGCATATACAAGTTCACATGTTTAATGCTTGGCTGGACTTTGCATCCACCTAAATGCAGTTGGAGAAAGTAATGTTTTGATGATATTTAGTTGGTTCCTGATCTATTTTTATATTGGAAGAATCCTTATTGTCGGATCCAAAATTAGATAAAAAAAAATTTTAATACATGGACTTACTACCAAAATTAGATAAAAAGATACACATATATAAAAAAATTACATATATCTTTTATATATAAAAAAAATCGTCCATTCTTATTAGTGTAGTCTTTTTAAGTACTATACACTATAATAAGTAGTACTCCCTCTGTCCCAAAATCATCGTCCAATTTGAGATTTCAATTTTAGTACAATTTGAACTAAAATAAAAACCCAAATTAGAAAATAATTATGGGACGAAGGGAGTAGTATTTAATACATAAATAAACAGGCAGTAATAAAACCTGTATCAGTAGTTCAGTACATAGTGCGACACGATTTTTTTTTTCTAAAAGAAAAGGAAAGAAAAGAAAAGAGGCGATTATATGAACTATTTAATTGAATGAAGGATACAAAACTAGCAAACAAAAATATACAAAATGAGAGCGGCTTAAGAGTTTTTTTTTTAAAAAAAAAAACGTACCTGTATTTCTAACAGTCAAAAAAAGAACAAAAAAAAAAACAACTTTTATATATATATATATATATATGTGTGTGTGTGTGTGTGTGTGTCCAGTCCAAAATTACAATCTCATTTGTCAAAAGATTTTAACGCAAAAGAAAATTGTTATGCTGACAAAGAGGGAGCTTATAAGATTTTGTATCTACTCATAAATTTAGGAGATTCCACAAAGCTTACGTATACTTTTCATCACTGGTGCCATTACATTTACCTTTAAACAATATCACATGCATTTTACTTGGATATATAGTCCCCACTGATGTTGCTATGTAACTTTAATTAGGGGCCATCACCAGCTCTCTTTTAATTTCCATTTTTTTTTTTTTTTGAAAAACCCATTATTAAAAAGAAAAGAAAGAACAAAAATAAGCGGCTGAAAAGAGATTTAATTATATCTGCCATTTTTTCTTCTTCTTGCAGAAGAGTAAATAATTAGCTAAGCAAATGCAAAATTTTTTGTCTCAAATAATTAAATATGCACTAGAATCACAAAACTGAACTTATTAAGTGGTAGATGCAATGGTAGCTAGTTAGAAATAATGTTCGAGGACACATATAATTAATTAATTTGATGAATGCCAGTAATTAAGTTGTTTGAAACTCGCCTTCTTCTTTCAACCTTTTCTTGCTTATTTATCCCTCCCATCTCCTAAAAATTTACTTTGTTAGATATAGTTATTTTTCTCTGACCTAAGTATTTTTCTTTCTTTTTTTTTTTCTTTGTAAGCAACAGATATAACCTGCCTTTTCTTCATTTTGTTTATCCAGAAACAGAGTCATCCCTTTCGAAACTAACACCATAGCGTTTGACTAAACAAGAAGTCTTGATGAATTGAAACAAGAATATAAAATTATTGTTCAGTTTGAGATTTCACTTTTAGTACAATTTGAACTAAAAATGACAACCGAACTGGACAATAAGTATGAGACGGATGAAGTATTATTAACATCAAAACGTTCAACATCTAATGCGTATTGTGATTTCTCAAAGAATGCTTAATCTGTACAGACCAGAAATAAACACCAAGCGTGAATACTGTATATCTTATATTGTGGTATCTGTGTGCTGACAATGCATGACGGTGTCGTATAACGTTATGTTCATAGCTGACCCCATAAAGCAGGATAAAGGCTATGTTGTTGCTGTTGCTGTATATATTAGGTAGTATTACCCTTCCGACTACTCATCCAACCATCCCTTCAGAAAAGCCAATGTTTCTTCCTAGGTTTACGATGCAACGGGGCATCTACAAAAATGAAAACAAAACAACTCACTTCATGAACCCAACAATCCCCAGCAAAATCGAACAATGATGAATCATCATAAAATTCAAACTAACCTCGAAGGTCATAAAGTGAGTTGTAATGGACCTCCGACCAAAAGCTCAACCAGAGCTCTGTAATGAAAGAAAAAAGAGCAAAACTGAAAAGATGAATATAACATGGCCATTGAGGGGCTTCTGATTTTATCCCTATATTAGAAAGTAGTAGGAATACCTCTTTTGGGTGGCTGATATTGGGGCACAATTTCAATAAAGCATGTATCCCTGAATGATGTTAAAAGGCAAATCTTCGCAGCAAACTGCATGGTGGGCATCATGATGAATTTTAGTCAACGAACAAACAGAGAAGCTCAGGTGCCAGGAAAAAAGATAAGATAGACATGGCAATACATAATATCAAGTCAAAACCAAATTATTACTCCCAAGTACTACTACTGCAACTAGTCATTCCATTAGGCCTTGTAAAACATTGGAAAATATCGATAGGATATTTAAATAAGGTCACTTGCGTCTATATATGTCAAGCAAAGAAAAAGAAAACTAAATCCAAGTTCCAAACTGCCACAGGTAGTGTTAAAAAATGACCATTTTAACCACAAGACATACAGAGAACTGCTTTTATCTTTATGTTGTAAGATATGAGCAGCTTCCTGCGGACAATCTCTTTACTTGAAGACTTTTAGCTTTCAAAAGACAATCAGCTATACTTTCCAAAAGGAGTAATTTCATCAATTGGAGTAACTGGAGAAAGTTCAGTAAGAACAGAACAAATACTATTCATGCAAATGGACAGACCTTATCAGCAGCTGCTTGTAAAGTAACATGGTCCCCCCACTCACCTGATCTGGAAAAAGGGAATGAGACCCAAAAAATAAATATAATAATACAAGGTACACAAAGGAAAAATGAAGAACAAAAACTAAATTGACTGGATCTTCAAAAAAATTCAACCACTATGTAAAATGTCCAAAATTTGCAATCAGATACCCTACTTAGCCATTTTCTTGTAATAGCGCTTGTACTTCATTGGAACATAACCTTCATATAATGACTGGTAGTCTTTTAGCTGAAACAGAAAGGCATAACATTACATGAGAATGCGTGGTAGGATAAAGAAGCATACATCAGCACTTTTCAGATGAAACAAATCCATTTGGCGCAAGTAAAAGAGGAAAACAGCACTACTTGGTTCAATCAGAGAACGTAATCAGATCAGTTGAGGTTAATACTAGATTCAATAAGTCGCTTGTGTAGTCAAATAAACCCCAAAGTTTGAAATCGAAAGGAGAAGGATCCAACAAGACTGGACAATGTAAAGGTAATAGAGGAGATCCTTAAGAGAATTGTCCTCAAAAACCAGAGGCCATGAGCAGTACCCAGTATCTCTGCACGTCAGCTCTCTATGCAGTATAAATTTTATCAATAGGAGCATCCAGGACTCCACATAACATTGGTAGCAGACGCACCACACAGAAAAGCCACAAATGACCCAAGTAGCAGCAAAAAACTCACATGACATCTTATCCAGTAAAGTAAAACTGTTTCAGTTCTTAATTTGGCTTGGTATAGCTCAAATCCCAGAATCGAAATACATTTCTTTTAAGATGAATAAATGATGACAAACCAGCAGCCAGAAGATCTCAGATAATAAGATGTCAACATGCTCATTAAATCATCTTATAGTGTGCTCCACGACACTATGAATCAAAATACATGAAGGATCAGATATAAGATCATTTCACATGTGATGCTCTCGACACATCTCTCATGGCACCGACAATAACATAATCTCATCTAAGGCAAGCTAAAATCACAACGTCTGTCTTTTGATACAAATTCCACACTACCTCCCAAATGACTTGGTATCATGTAATTCATATTGATCCTCTAACCCATATGGACAACATAATTCAGACTTTCTATTTGCAAATAAATACACCCACCAAAAAGAAAATGACGAAAAACAGACGGGAGAAATTATGAACATGAAATACACCAAGTATCATTCACAATTTAAGAACAGCATGAGTTCAACATTATAAATTCTGCAAGTTTATATTAATTACATAAAATTGTGATCCAAATGCAACAGGAATTGTGCAAACCATGAAGAACCAGAGAAAATATAGATATATCATTGTAAAAAGTATTTGCAGAGTAATCTAGACCTACCTGCTTCACAACCTCCTTCCGGATATGCCTATGATACTCAGGTGATCTATACAGTTGGTCTGAAACTGCGCGAAACTGAAGGAAGAAGGCGAAAGAAAAGGAAAAAAAAGAAATCCACGTCAACAAAATAGAAAAATATCAACATCAACATCAGTATGTTCCCAACCAAGTAGGGGACGGGGGTGGGTCAGATGTACGCAGACTTACCTTTGTAATTATAGAGAAAACAATAAGAGAAAATGACTTTTAGGATGAAAGAGAACCTGACAATTGCCATCTCCTGATACTTTGACTTCATACAGGCCATATACATTTAGCCTGCGAGAGCACAAAAAACAAGAGCATTTATCAATTTAATCCAAATTAAAGAGCAGCGTTATTTGTGTAACCAGGCTGCAAGCATGTAAATTACAAAGGTTCAGAACTCAATGAAAGATCTTTACAAAGTGGAGAGAGAGATAGAGTTAATCTCCAAGCTGACCTCTGAGTTAAACGTTGATGGTCCAAAGAAGCATTATTAGAGTCTGGAATGAAAGAATTTATTCTTGGAACATGCTGAAATTCATACCCAAAACAGTAGGTTCAGTTAGGTTTAGGAAAATTCAGTTGGCACCAAGAAGTAAATAAAATGAACAAAAAAAAAAGGAAAAAATAGGGGGAAAAAAATGAAATGAACAAACAAATGTGTTCCTAATTCTATAAAACAAATATAAACAGAAGAAGAAACTTCTCGAGCGTTCAGCATGATTCCTCTCTATTGAACTAAACCTAGGTTGAGTAACTCAATGAAAGTCTAGAGATTTATAAAGCAACAGCCAACAGCTAAGATTTTTGCAATTGCTAGGACAACTTCCAAAAGTTTTTCCAGTAGAAAAGTAAAATAAAGATAGTTTCTGGGACATGGACTGTTCATAGAAGTTCTGTGTGAAGTGAAATGATTCCAAAGTATAACACCCCAAATCTGCCAAGGGGGGAATGACAGATAACAGATTAGAAATGATGCAGATTAGAAACACCATGTACAGTAATAAAAAATAAAGGCTTTGCAAAGAATTTGAACAAGTCAAGAAGATATAAGACTCTCATACAAAGAGTAATAAATAAACAAGAATAACAATAAAAAAAAAAAAAAACCCACAGCAAGAAATACAATCAGAAACTTAGGATGCTATGAGAAAACAGCACGCAGTTGGAGAGATAAATATCATAAAAATGATAAGGATCTCAGAGAGAAAATTAACGCTTTATGCATTAATTGCATCAGGTCTTAACTAGTTTGACAGGTATTTTTATTTTATGCAGACAGTCTTCCAACTATCTATGGATCAACAGACACATGCAATGGTGAGACACTTCAAACCGAATATATCAATAAAGGTATCCTTCCATTTCAGAGAATCAACTTGAAAATTCCATCCTGCGACAACTTTTGATTGGTCAAAACCACAGGAGATGTTCGTGGAATGAATTTGAGCTTTTCGGCTAAGAAAAGTAAACTTCTTAGAAACAACATTAACATGGATGATTTCTTTATCCTAAACAGAAGGAAATTAATCTTAGCTAGGACATTCTCTAAGTAGAGGACTGACGGATATGCTCATCCATGAAGGGGATAAGGACATGCAGATGAGTATGGCAGTATGAATTTTAATAAATTATGAAACATGAATATCTTCTGATCGAACTTCTTGAAGAATTTAAGACCTCAGATGTTGATGTGCTCAGAAAAGGATGCAGAAGATAAAACTATTGGTGTCGTTAAGGACAATTGCATTAATCAAGAATTATACATACCACAGTGAATAATAAAAAGAGTCAACCATCAAGAACTTCACAAGAGAGTTCGAATGTCAAGCTATCAAGCCAAAAACCCGCAGAGACAGTTATCATCCGTCTCAACAGTCAAGACCAATCACACAAAAGACAATTTGTTGCACTCGAACGAATTCATACTTGAGAAATCTTACAGGAATAGGTGCTAGGTGAGAAACCCTTTGACCAACTGCTCCATCTAATTTAGCATACTCTTCAGACAGTACCATGGCAATCATCTTATCATCCTCAATATCTTGTTGACTGCTAACCGAGGATGAACTAGAACTTTCACCAAAGTGTGCATTTCCATTTATCATCATTCACTTGAAAAGTGCAACAGCTTCCTCAAGCACTCAAATTTACAGCTTAACTCAAACAACGAACAGATTCAAGACTACAAGCTAAAACCTGCAATAAAAAAACTGACTTTATCATCTGAGTCTAGTTTATAACTTAACCCGAAATCAATCCTACCAACCCCTTTCAATCTTTTCTTTATACAACAATGTAAACTGATATAAGAAAAGTAAAAGAGCTTGTAAAAAGTAAGTTGTTGGTTGTCGGTGGGTATAAAATATAGGCACAGATTCCCCCATTGCAGAAATATTCCAGCATAACATAGGATAACCGACTACCAAATCTGCATCTGACCTTCCAATCATTCTACATAAAAGTCAATTTTAGAGCTATGGGAGCAGGAAAACGACATTGAATTATCACTAAACAAATAACACTCGAAAATTAAAGATACCCCATTTCTTGCCTCCTATAATCCTTTATCCTTTCCTAGGAATAACAAAAATTTGATCTTAATCAAGAATTCATTGGCTACATTTCCATATAACTAATCAGAGCCATTTCAATCAACTAGTGACAGCTTTGATCTTTAAACTCCACAAACTAAAACCCAGAAATTTGTTTAACAATTCCAATCAATTTCCCCGATCCCTTTGAATTCAACTGCAAATCCCACAAGACAAAATCGAAAATATACCATATTCTTCCAATAACATAAACATCACCCATACTACAGAAATTTAGCAGGAAACAGTGGAAAAGATCTTTCATCTCTTACCTGGAGAAATTCGTGGATGAATTAACAAAAAAAAAAAAAATTCTTGAATTAGGAAGAAAACAACAAAAAATCTAAGTCGTGGGACCAAATTAGAGGGAGGGATTTCTAGTTGGGGGTAGGTTGGATCTTCTAGCTTTGAGGATTAGCAATTAACGCGCCAACTTTTGTAACGTCAGCATCATCCTCCTTGAGAAGTTAGAGGTTGCGTCCGTGTTACAAGGATGCTCTGTCCAATTCCCAAAAAGTCTAATGAGTTTAAATTTCTATAATAATAACAAGTCCCAAAGATATTTTGATGTGATTAATTGATTAAGAAGTTAGATTTTGCAGTCTTTCCATTTCAAAATATATGTTTTTCTAGTAATTTTATCAATACTAATAAAATATTAAATTATGTGTTTAAAATACAAAATTATCCTTATTTATTAGCCATACAACTCACCACTAACCAATACAATTTCTTTTAAATACTATTTTCATTTTCAACGTAAGGCTAATATTGAAAAAATAAGAAAAAAGTTGTCTCGATTTTATAAGACGACATATATTTTGAAAAATTTTGTAAACCTTAAAACGACATCTATTAAAAAATAGAAGGAGTATTATTTAATTTCCGGTATCACAAGACCATGAAGAAGTCTCAGATATTTATGAAAGAAGTTTTAAAGCATCAAAGTCCTGTTAAATAAGATCTTATTCGTAGTTTTTTTATTTTTATTCTTAGTTTACTTGCTTAGTTAGTATTTGCTTTTATTGAAATCCCCATCCGTTAAATAGTAATTTCATTTTTTAGGCAATAGCCTCCTTTATTGTGGGAGTAAAAAAAAAAAAGATATGTTCTTGATGCATAATATCACTATTATTGTTTAAAATGTGCAATTGACTATCTAGTTAATCTTCCATTTCATGATCTGCCATTGAAATTTTATCACATCAACCCAATTTAAGTTATAAAAAGGAATTTTTCAGGCTAATCCATATAAGGGTGAAAAAAAAATACACATTTGTTCAAAAATAAATGTCTTATTTGTAAAGTTAAAATAATACAACTACAGTTTTTAATTTAAAACGAAAGAAATATTATTCCATTGATCACTGATTCTAAGATGATTTTTTTTCCTTATATACGAGGAGGCATAAAAACACTTAGGGCCTGTTTGGTTGTCTCAGAATCTAGGTGAGAATGTAATCTTTTCATTGTTTTTAAACTTTCATGTTTGTTTTGTTCAGGAAAGTAATCATTTTCATAATTATTAAATTCCAATGTTTCTTTAATTATAGGAAAGTAAAAAGAATCCCAAAGTCAAAGAAAGTCAAGTAAAATAAGTGCAAGATTCCAGGATTGTGATTATCCACCTAAAAGCTGTTATTCTTTTTACTTTCCATATGATTCTAAAATTTTATACATTTTTTTATGTTTAATCTTCATACCATTTTTTATCATACTAGTCATTTATTTTTAAATTTACTCATGTTCTATTTTCAAATTGACACTTATTTGATCAGCTAAATTAGTCATTATAATTAACTTATATTGTCTAATATAAAATTATCTAAAAATTAATTTTGATTTAAAAAATATATTTTCATTTTTTTAATTTTAAAATTACCATAATACTAAAACATCAAAATTCTCAATTTGAAAACATTAACAAATAATTTATTTATTAATTAAATGATTTAATTTAAAAGAGCTTACATTGACTTTGAAAATTCTTTAAAAATTAACTTAGTCTAATTTAGTTTGCAATATGAATCATAGTGATAAGTCTCATTTTCTTGTAATGATATTTCTAATAGTTAGCAAACAAACAATCATCTTTTTACATTATTAATTATTAATTATTAAAATACTTGATTGGTCACATAAAACTAGACTATTTATCGAAATAGTTTTTTTTTTAAAAAAAAGAATTATTGATCGTTCATGTATAAATGTTAGATAAATAAATTTATAATTTTTTAACAAAGAAAATCAAGTTTCATTAAATAACTTGTAATAGTAAAATGGCTATGGTAAATATATCTAACTTCAAAACTTAAGCCCATCATATTTAATAAAGTTTTAACTAGATTCGTCTAGCTAAAAATTTTATGAATTTTGTTAAATTATATAATTATACACTTACACACATATATTTAATGTTGTTCGTGTAGTTAGATTTTGAACGGATAGTTTCAAGATTTTGAACGGCATGTTAGAGATTTATAGGCGACAAAAAAAGATTAAAAAAAAAAATCACTTTCAAGCCTATTTTCCAAACATGTAAACAAACATAGGAAAGTATTTAGATTCTCAAGAATCATATTATTAGGAATCATAATGTAAAGTAAAATACTCCCTCCGTCCCGTAATTATTGTCCAGTTTGAGTTTTCATTTTTAGTTCAAATTGTACTAAAAGTGAAATCTCAAACTGGAAAATAATTTTGGGACAAAGAAAATATTAATTTTTCGCTATATTAAAATCTCAGAAATGTTCACTTTACTTTCCTCAACTTTCCAAGCAACCAAACAGGCCCTTAAGTTACATCATAATTCCGAATTAATCTAGCAGTTTGTCTACTATCTGGATAATCCAAGCCCAATACATGTGCTTAAATCGAGTGCAGGAATCTTGAACACCAAACCCATCACCATTTCAGTAAATGTGATGGGCTGGTATTGCTGTGTTTGATAATGCATCTTGTTAGTTCTTCAACAAATAGACTTGTGTTTTTGATATAATGGACATTGATCATTCGCCATGTCTTGGTTATGAGGCTTTCGATGTGTTCTATTGCAATTTCTTCTGAAACATTTGCTTCTCACATGTAACATAGGATTGATACGCGGCAGCGGCATCTCCTCTTTCTAGTTCTGCCTTGCAGATTAATTTCTGATTAATGAGGTATTCTAGATATGATTATAAATTATAAGGGCATCAAGAAAAAAAAAAATTCAAGAAAAGATTAAACTAAAGATTCAATTAGGTTTTTCACCTTCTCGAGTTTGATTAAATATTAATTTAGTTAAATTCAAACATATGATCAAAACTAGCGTATAATTTGTGGAACACGTGAATTATGTGAAATTCCTTTATCGCAAAGTGATTTTATATAGATTTCACATGAAAAAATTATGTTAAAGTGAGACTGTTAATAATGACAATTAATCTTGTTCAATCCAAACATATAGTTGAAGCTAGTGGAACACATAGTCATAGAATATGTGACATTCCTTCATCATAAAGTAACAATATATTGATTTGACAAGACGAATTACATGTCTATAAAAATGAGACTGCCAGTAATAATAACACTAATTAATGTAATTCTTGAGTTTTTTATAGTGTTATAAGAAAAAAAAAGTACAATACACACGTTTTGAGAACATAAATATAATTTTGAAAAAAATTTTGAACTTAAGAAAACAAATAAGATCCGTAATTAATTAAAAATGAAGTAAAAAAAATTTTGATGACCCTAATTCATACCGTAGATGTTGCTTGATCATTACAAAGAGGAATAATGAGTGAAGAAATGTTACATGATATCCTGATTACCTATTCTTAGTGTTTCCATCTGCTACACCAAGAATTGCAAGGTGAGCTAGTCAAAGGGCCAGAGGAGGACATTTATCCATTCTATAAGTACTCTTCAAGCGAGGGTGTGTAACCCTTGTTGTTCCACTTAACCTCCAGTTGATTTATAGCAAATTTTGACAGCTATTCTCAATTTGTAAATAGTCAATGCAAGTTACAAAATAGTACGAAAGCATTGATACAAATTCCAATCATGACTAATGAACATACATTTGTACCTATAAAATGTCAGTGCTTTTGCAAACCTTCTACTTGGGAAATGGGGATTTTCAAATTTTAATTAAAAAATGCAAATTAGGGAGTAAAACTTAACCCAATAACATAATTAGGAGGGCAAAATCGCAAAATGAGTAAACTTCAAAGACCAAAAAAAGGGGAGAAAAAGAAAAATGGATTCAATAAGCTGGCTAGTTCTACATGACAGATTCTCAATTGGAATACTTGCTACAAAGTATAAACAACCCCAACTTTGATAGATCACAAACGTTGATAACCAAAACTTATAAGTAGCATAATCGTGCCAAAATTTATAGGGGAACCAAATCACTTGCAATAAGGTGTCCCAGACTACTCATCATCCGAGTAATTAAACTTAATTGAATGAGACTGCAAGTCGATCTGTCCTCCTCTGTAACTACCGCGCTTCTTCTTGGTCTTTTCGTGTCGGAAGTCCCTGAGATCAGAAATGAAGGGGCTCATTTCGGTTAAAGATGATTAACAGAAATGACATATGGAAAATTCCAGATAGCTTGAGAGGTTGAACTAGGTGCACTATAGAAAACAAAACTTTGTTGTATCCAGGCCCAACCAACACTCTAAGAAAGATATTCATTTAGATTAGTACGAAATCTTATACAACTTGTTCTATCCATGTATGACCTATTTATTTTCCTTCAAACTCAACTTGTACTTGCTTTTTGCATGATATATCATTTTGTAATACTCCTACATAACAGGTATAAATGTCTCATCTTGAGTTGTTTTAATAAAGCGAAGATGTCCAGTAGCATATCGAAGCTAAAATGAACTTCAAAAATACTGTAAAAGCTAACAGAACCTACAAACACATTTCCATCATCACTATTATACATTAGTATCATCACCATTATACACAATTCTATTTCATCGAAAAAGTTGACTGATAATTGAAGTAAGAACACATATTATTTAGCTTTCATCACTCTTATGAAAAGAAAATGGTTGGCTAGTGTCCCCCCTCTCCCATATTTATCCCAATATCAAAAACAACGTTCCCTTGTGTGAGGTACTATTTCCCATGATAAGAAATGGGGAATGAAAGATAATCGGGAATGAGAATGTCAAGAAATAAATTTCTACCTTCCTTTCACCTGACCCAGGATTTCTTGAGCTTTTGCACCATAACCAGTTTCTGCACCACCCTATCGAAAAGCAACATAAAACAATTAAATTTCAAAAGAAAACCACAGCTATCGAGATAGTATATGCTGCGTATCACGAAAAAAGCAACAGCTGAGAGTTAACTGCACCTTAGCCCAGTAGGAATTATCCTGAAGTCTCTCATCAGCAAATTCCACTGCATCAACTTTCACCCTTTGAAAAGCATTTACTGTTTTTGGCTGCAATAATATAACAATTAGATTCTCATTCCATTAACCCAAATTGCAGACACAAAGAGCTGTTATAGTATCAAAGAAGAGCAGAGAGACGGAGGTAGACAGAACGGGAGGTAAGAGTAATTAAAGGTCAACTTTCGTGAATTAGCGCTCCTTAAGGCCTAGATTAATTCTGAGCAGGTTCACCTTGGCTAGTCAAAGGATGGGGATGAGCAGGGGAACAAAAAAGGATTTGTTGGTTAATGTCAAAGATGGTAGAAAGTATGATGATTTCAATGAGATTGAACTATCAAAAGTTCAAAGCAAATGGTTCGAAGAAAAAAATTACTGAAGGAGCTTAAGTGTTTGGTAACTAAAGCAATGAATATGGAAAGAAGAAGACAACCGACAAAAGAAAATCAAGAACAGCTTCATGAATACCTCAGCAGAACCATTTCGTAGCTTCTTTGCACTTTTCTTGTCTGAAAATTTGCCAACTCCATTGCTCATGAGACTACCCTTTTCACTCTCATCAAACTCCTTAGTTGGCTTTGGTGTCTTCAATTGACTTCCAGTGCCATTATCCTCTTTAGTTTCGCCATTAACCTCAGCTTCTTTAAGACCTTCAGTTTTTCTCTTCTTAAAATCTTCAACAACTTCCGTCTGTGTTTCATTACTTTCATCAGAAGCAGACCTTTTCCTCTTCTTTGACTTGTTATCAGTTTCAGCGTCCAAGGTAGCATGTGATTGTGCTTTAACAAACACTTCCGCACCATTATCAGATGCTTCAACTAAAGAATCCTTTTTTCCCTTCTTCTTTTCTTTGGCTTCAGTTCTATCACTGTCCAGTGTCCCATTTTCTTCTTGCGATTCAGATGTCAATTCACTTTTCTTCTTCTTTTTCTTCTTGTCAGCTGGCTCCTTCAAGGAATCATCCTGTTTAACGTCGGGAACAGAGGATTTAACATCCTCATCATTTTCAGTTTTCTTTTTCTTTTTGTTACCACCATCTTCTGTCAAAGTCTCTTTATCTCCTGAAATATCCGCACCAACAGTTACCATGAACCATCGGCAGTGCGCAAAACTCAAGAGAATCAAAGAATGGGGAAAAGTTGGCATTGTGTTTTTATTATATAACAAAGACTACAACTTACTCCTCTGCTTCTTTTCTTTGCCTTTTAGATCCTCAGTTGAGTTATCACTCTTGACCGCTGGAACAGAAGATTTGGCGCTGTCATCATTTTCTTTGTTTTTCTTCTTTTTCTTCTTATTAACAATTACTGAAGGCAAATCTTTAACAACATCAGACTCAGCATCTTTCAACATTGTTCCCTTAACACATTCTCCTGCATAAATAGCCTTTTGGGTTAAGTCAAATATGTGCTAAACTAAAAAGAACAAGGCACAAAAAGAATAATAATCAGTTATGATAGATAGGCAACTATCATAAGAATCTACCTTGCTCCATGATGCTTTTGGCTTTTGTTTCATCATTTCTACTGCACATCAAAAGCTCAACTAGCATGAGACCAGAAACTGGTATCAACCATTACATAAAAATGATCTCCATTCACAATGGAAATCCTCAAGATACATTCATAGTTAGCATTTCACACACAGCTCAAAAAAAGATTAGTCCAAACAAAAAAAATGAACTTTAATAAAGTTTATATGACAAATTTTCTAGTACAACAGTCTTTGCAGCCAATTAATTCAGAGATACAATGTACCACCGTAATAATCTTTCTAATTTTTTTTCTTTTTTTTGTTGGGTTGGCACAACAGAGCCCCCGTGGCAATATGCCATTAGTCTATACCAATAGCATATTAGAATTTCAATAAAAGCAGATAACGGTACTCCTTCAGATGACAAATTTTAAGAATCACAATTATCAGGAGAATAAAGTAGTGCTTAACTAAAACTAAAATTTCCAGTTCAAACTTTGCAACAACCCCAATCTCGAATTTTTGGCTTACCAAGTTTCCAAATATTTGCTGTAAATGCACTCCAAGTCAATTGAACTTCCCTTCCAAGCATCATCCTGAAGAAATAGCAATCATCAAACTAATGCTACCTAAAGAAGACAACAAAAATAGAACTACAGATATCGAAGAAAATTTCATCCCACCTAAGCACATAGTTAAGAAAAACACACTATTATTCCAATAGTAATTATGATCCATTTTTGCTAGAAATTATACCAAACATACCGACTTGTGAACAGTAAGATCCAATTTTATACAAATAGAATCAAGACAACTGTTAAACCACCAAGACATAAATCAAAACCTAATCTTTCTCTATACATCAAATCAAACCTTTACATAACTGAACGCTTATCACAATTATGAACTTCTACTTGCTCATCTATTAAACTCGAGCAATCAGCCTACCTTTACTTGAGCTTCTTTGAGGAACTTTTTTAAGGTTTTAGCAAACCCTTTATCACTGATGTACTTGACAACTGAATGAAGCAGAGCAAGCTTCTGATCGTCCTTCAGGACGTCTGTTTTCTGGTTAAGCTGCTCTTTATCATGCTTCTTCGTCATTGTCAATCCGGGTTGCTGCTTAGGTAGCTGCTTTTTCTCTGCAAGTAGAACCTGCCGGGGCTTAAAGGCTACAAGTCTTGAGAATGAGCTATAATCTTCTACCTGCTTACTACCTCCTGCCACCTCCGGCATAAACTGGAAAACACAAACACATTGAACTCCTTAATCAGTCCATATTAAAATATCCCAACTATCATTCAAACTGATTTTCCCACAAAAACCCAAAAACAAAAATCACAGAATTCAATCTTGGCCAAAACCCAAAATCCCAGAAGCAAACAGTGATTCAACAGCTCAAAGATATTTTCACAAATGTAACTTCAAAAGCAGAGACATGAACAGAAAAAACAGCAGCTTTATTGGGATTGGGACATAAACCTTACTGAATGCAAAGATTGAATTACACGAAATTCGCGGATAAAACAATGAAAAGAAAATATGAACAAAAAATTGTACGAAGGAGGAGAAGGCAAGTTGTTACCGGAGTGGTTGTGAACGGAAGAGGTGGCGAAGTGAAAGAAAACCAGAAGTGTTACCCAATGAGGGCTTAATGGAGGAGATTAGGGTTTTAGAGCTATCCGGGTTGACTTATTGGGTTTGGATTTTTTACTGGGTCGACCCATTATTATATGAACTTTTGATGGATGTTTTCGAGAAATTTTGCATTTGTAGCCCAAACCTTCAACCGAAATACAAATTTAGTCCCAAAGTAAGTATTTTTTTTTTATTGATTAAATAATTAATTTTTTTATTTGTAATTCCTTATAGTTTCATGCTGTAATCAAAAAACACACGAAAATTATATCATGCGCATTAAATACATGTAGCTAGGTCCACATAGACCCCCATTTGGTAATTAATATAGGAAAGAAGGGCTAAACATGCAAGTCTTTATAAGTTATGTGCAACTCACGTGCCCCTTCCCCTTAATTTTAGGAATTAGGTTTTTAAAATTTCTTAAATTTTTAAATCACTTTATTTTTTAATCCGTAAATAATTAGACCAAGTGTCTTATATCATTTTGATAGTACTCGACGAGATCTATCAAACAAGATCCCTCATGAATATGTTTTTCAAAACTTAAAAAAATTTATGCAGTAGCCTTGGTCTTACTAAAAGACATTCTGGTCTTATTGTGTCTTTTAGGACTAAGACCTATAGAAAAGACCAAAGGCCAAAGGCCAAAGACCAAAATTGAATACCAAAGAGCAAAAATCAAAGATCAGAGTAAAGAGCGAGCGTGTGTGAGAAACAACGACAAAAGACCAAAGATCAAGAAACCGAAGACCAAAGAGCAAAAATCGAAGACAAAGACCAGAGTGAAAGAGCAAGCGCTGTGTGAGGAGCAAAGACCAAAGACCAAAAACCAAAGTTCAAATACCAAAGACCAAAGACCAAAGACCAAAAACCAAAGACCAAAGACCAAACACCAAAGACCGAAGGCTAACGACCAAATACCAAAGACCAAAGACCAAAGACCGAAATCCAAATACCAGAGACCAAATGCCAAAAACCAAAAACTAAAGACCAAACAGTAAAAACCAAATACAAGAATTAAAGCGAGCATGTGTGAAGAGTAAAGACCAAAGGCCAAAGATAAAAAATTGAAAAAATATTAGTGTGTTTAGAGTTTAGGCGGGTTTAAGCATTTTTTTGTCGGTTAGGGTCTAGTTGTTTAGGGTTTAGGGTTTAGGGGGTTTAAGCATTTCTTTATCGGTTAGGGTCTAGTTTGGGCCGTAACACGTTTAACTTATGAATTTTTTTACGATACCCTAGCCTAATTGATTTAAGAAAATTTAAACCAAAAAAAAAATTAATGTGTTTAGGATTTAGGGGGGTTTAACCATTTCCGTGTCGGTTAGGGTCTAGTTGTTTAGGTTTTAGGGTTGGGGATTTAAGCATTTCCGTGTCGATTAGGGCCTAGTTTATGCCGTAACATGATTAACCTTATACTTTTTTTTAAACCCTAGCCTAATTGGTTTTAAAAAAATTTTTTTTAAAAAAACTAGTGTGCTTAAGGTGTAAGGGGGTTTAACTATTTCCATGTCAGTTAGAGTCTAGTTGTTTAGGGTTTAGGGTTTAGGGGGATTTAATCATTTCCGTGTCAGTTAGGGCCTAGTTTGTGCTTTAACACGATTAACCTTATAAATTTTTTTAAACCAAAAAAAAAAAAATTAGGTTGTTTAGAGTTTAGGGGGGTTTAACCATTTCCGTATTGGTTAGGGTCTAGTTGTTTAGGGTTTAGGGTTTAGGGGGGTTTAAACATTTCCATGTCGGTTATGGCCTAGTTTGTGCCGTAACACGATTAACCTTATAAATTTTTTTAAACCAAATAGGCTAGGGTCTCGTTTTAATTCAAAACGAGACCCTAGCCTATTTGGTTTAAAAAAATTTAAACAAAACAAAAATTAGTGTGTTTAGGGTTTAGGGAGGGTTTAACCATTTCCATATCGGTTAGGATCTAGTTTTTTAAGGTTTAGGGGGTTTAAACATTTCCGTGTCGGTTAGGGCCTAATTTGTGTCGTAACACAATTAACTTTATAAAATTTTTAAACCAATTAGGCTAGGGTCTCGGCTAATTGGTTTAAAAAATTTTAAATAAAAAAAATAATGTGTTTAGGGTTTAGGGGGGTTTAACTATTTCCATGTCGGTTAGGATCTAGTTATTTAGGGTTTAGAGTTTAAAGGGTTTAAGCATTTCCGTGTCGGTTAGGGCCTAATTTGTGCCGTAACACGATTAACTTTATAAAATTTTTTAAAACCAATTATGCATTAGTTTAAAAAAAAATTAAACCAAAAAATAAAAAAAAATATTAGTGTGTTTAAGATTTAGTGGGTTTAAGCATTTCCGTGTCGGTTAGGGTCTAGTTGTTTAGGATTTAGAGTTTAGGGGGTTTAAGTATTTCGGTGTTGGTTAGGGCCTAGTTTGGCCTTTTGGCCATTGGTCTTTGCTCTTTGCTCCTCATATACACTCGCTATTCATTCTGGTCTTTGGTCTTTGATCTTTAGTTTTCGGTTTTTGGTCTTTGGCCTTTTGTCTTTGGTCTTTGTTTTTCACATACGCTCGCTTTTCACTTTGGTCTTTGCTCTTCGATGTTTGGTCTTTAGTCTTTGGTCTTCACACACACTCGCTCTTCACTTTGATCTTTGTTCTTTGATTTTTTGTCTTTGCTCTTTGGTTTTCGATTTTTAGTCTTTAGCCTTTGGTCTTTGGTGTTTGCTCTAGGTCTTGGTCTTAAAAGACACAAGTAAGACCATAGCGTCTTTCAGGATGACCAAGCCAACTGCATAAATTTTTAAAAGTTTCGAAAAACATATTCATGATGGATCTTGTTGGATAAATCTCATCGAGTACTATTAAAATGATATAAGACACTTGGTCTAGTTCATTACGGATTAAGAAATAAAATCATCTCAAGATAAAAGAAATTTTTAAAACCCACTTTTTAAAATTAAGGGGAAGGGTCACGTGCATTGAAATGGAAAAAGAAAGCATATTAAATAATTATACATGAAGTCCCTCCATTATTGAATAATAAAAAAAAAAGTCTAAGTGCACCTAATTAGATACACTTAATGTGCATAGTATAACAAGTAAAAACACATGAAAATTTTCAGATTTTGTTTCCAAAACAAAAATGCCTTGTATGCATCTTCCCATAAACTCTGTAAAATAGAGATATGTAATGCACATTTTTGTTAAATGACAAAAAATGGGTTTTACTCTTTTCATTTCACTTTGGTACCTTTTGAAGACTAGTATGTACAAGTCAATTCAAAAAGGAATAAGCCATTATTATTGACATCCCTATTTTTAGTGAAATCACATATCCAATGCTTTATGTATCTAGTTTCTTAATTTGGAATGGCTACGTACTCATATAGTCATGTTTTCCAAACCGTTGATTATAACCATTCCCCTTATCGTGACAATTACTGTAATTTTTGGATGAATGTTATAGAATTTTTCAATTAGAAATAATACTCTCTCGATTTGTCCTAGAAAAGTACTAGTTGACATTGAATTTTGAAATTTGTATTAAAAATAATGTAAATCTCAAAATTCAATATGAACAATTTCTTTTTGAGACAGATGAAGTACATGACAACAAGATCAAACTGCCTTGAGTATTATGATGTGAAAAATAGACAAAATGATAAATAGAGCTTCAAAGTACAGCTAGCTTGTAGTTTTCGCTCGAGTGATAATACACCACTAGTACATACACAACCCGAATATTGAATACTCTTTCTTATTGTAAGTTCAATATATATATGGAGTCCAATAATTTATTTATTGATCTTTTATTTCTGTTTTTTTTTTTTTTTTTTTGCTTTGGACATATATATGTCCCTTACCAAACCTCATCCGAGAATCCCTTGTGCAATTCATTCAATAAATAGGTTAACACCCAACTAATGGATCTTCAAGTTAATTTAAATCTGATGTGAGATTGCCAAAGTCTAGCCATGAATCTCAAAAGTGAAAATAGAGAAAAATACTTAATATTTTGTAGCACACATCAATTCCTTCGTATGTGCATTGTTGTATGACATTAATTAGACATAGTATGGGGGAATAGTAAAACAAATTGTTGCTTACATGCTGCTTCAAGAAACAACAGGAGGGGTACAGAAATTAGCAAAATTATGCCCCATGTAATCAATTTCAATTATGAAGGAAAAAAGAAAAAGAGTTAACAAAGGAGTAATGATGAGAAATAACTTATGGTCAATAGTCAATGAAATGAAGAATATTTGTGTTGATGGGTACTGATCTCTTCATCCAATTCCAATGGCAAATTTCAGTTTCACTTATTTGGGTTTCAAAACAAAGAGAGAAAATGAAGCCATGATTGCTTGGTTGAAATGAGAACTTGACATGAACAACAAATACTCCAATAGCTGGAAGTATCAGTTTTTTTTGTTATTTTTATACTCTTAAGTTTTGAGATGTATACTAAAAAAAATAAAAATCAAAGAGAGTACTTATTTTTTAATTGCCTAGAAAATATTGTTTGGACGTTATCGTATATTTCATTTTGTCACTTAAAAGTGGAAAATGTTTCAAGTTGAAAACTGAATGGGAAATAAAAATGTTGTTTGGATGGTATTTTGAGCAAAAAGTTGTTTGGATGTTGGTTTTGAAAAAAATATTTTGAACTACATTTTGAAAATATCAAGTACGAGTCATCACTACACAATTAAATACTGTCAATTATAGTCACTGCAAAAAAGAATTTTTCCAAAAACAATCAATCAACAATGGAATCCTACCAAATTTGTCACTGAACTATTTGTAGTTCTAAAATAGTCATTACACTAACAAAAAGTGTTTCAAGTTAGAATTTAAAATGTAAATCAGAAAGTTGTTTGGATAATGTTTTTTTCCATTGGGTTTTATGTTTAAGTGGTAAAATGAGTTAAAATATAAAATGAGTGGACGTCCAAACAAGAACTTTCTTGCTAATAATGAAGGAGCGCCAGAACATCACAGCTTCAATTTGTTGCCTGGTTGAAATTAAGAATTTGATCAAAGTATAACAAATTCAAAGAAGTCAAATGAGATGAATATATTGTAGTTAAGTTGATCAGTTGGGCATGTGATCCATCATCACCAATTCACTGTCACTGAACTCCATGCATGTTACTTTGCTTAATTGTAACAGTTATTATATTATTATCCATATATTAACTCAATAGATTAATTTGACGTCCCAAAGTCGTGGGAGAATAAAAAAATTTGCTACAACCAAGATTGAGACCATTTAAATGCTGCACATTTCTTCAATCTTTACGAACAGCTACCCACAGCTGGTTATCCTTCGTATTCAAACAATGGCGGAGAAGTCAGCTTATTCTCAGCTTTTCTTTTTCATGGCAACATTATCTTGTAAGTCTCTCTTTCTGCCTCTCTCTTGTTCATAGTTAATTTTATTCTATAGCAGCTCGCTGTTTCTCCTTGGATTTTGTACGTTTAAGTTTGATTACTGAATGAATGATCGGGTGCAGTTCTGTTATTGTCACCGACAACAACAATGAAAACAATGGCGTCTTCATCTGATATAAATATTGGGGTTGGCGTCGGGATTGGAATCGGAATTGGCATCGGTGGCAAATCCGGCTGTCCTCCGCCGCCTCCACCTTCACCACCTCCTCCGCCTCCGCCTTCATCACCTCCACCGCCTTCGCCATCATCGCCTCCTCCAGCGTCATCACCTCCTCCACCACCACCGTCACCTCCTCCGCCTCCCCCATCATCACCTCCTCCACCTCCGCCGTCGCCGCCTCCTCCGACTTGCAAGGTTCTTGGTGAAGAAGGATGCAAATCAAAGTCTGATTGTTGCGATGAAGAGGCGGGTTGTAACATGTTTTCACGGTGTTGTAAGATGCCTAGTAAGTCGTGCAAAGCAACTTCGGAGTGCTGTAAGGTTAGGGCACAAAACAGTCGGGGTTACGCCGATGCGTCGTGTAACTTTGGCAAATGCTGCGTTGGAACCAACGGAGAATGCGAGACGGATGGAGATTGCTGTCTCAGATCAGACGTGACAATGAAGTGTTTACAAGGATCCAACTTTAAATATTGTGCGGAAACGAAATGATCGTTTTCGTTTTCGCTTTAACAGTGTGGTTTCATTTTGAGGATTATGTTCAGGTTTTAATGTTTTTTTTTCCAATCAAGTTTGTTGTTTACAACTAGGGAAACTAGTTTACACTTCACAAAATGTTTTGATAGAGAGTCAGACAGATGCTAGTTTAAAGTACTTCATGGATGCATGAAGAATCAAGTTAATTATTCTATTATTAGAATTTGATTCGCAATACGGCAACTTCCAAAAATTTCAGGACAAAATTACATTCTTAAAACTCTTGCCGCCCGGTTCAATATTTAATTATCAATCAACACCCATACGCTTATTCTTTCTTCAAATTTAATCCATGTTTCCTCCAACGCGAAGAAAAGTAGCTCACATTGAAATGTGAAATTTGCACTATATATTCAAATTTGCTGGGCTATTTTTTCCCTTCTTTTTATATACTTTCTCTGTCCCAAAATTATTGTCCAGTTTGAGATTTTACTTTTAGTTCAATTTGTACTAAAAATGAAAACTCAAACTGGACAATAATTTTGAGACGAAGGGAGTAGTTTAAAATTCAATCTAGACTTTTTTTTTTTTTTTTTTGGGATCCTCTTCTAGTCTATGTCTATAATTTCAAAAGGAAAACAAGAAAGAAAAGAAAAATTAGTACTCCTTCTATCCATAATATCATGGAATTTGGAGTTTCATTTTGAAAAGTACAATTTTATGTCGCACTAGAAGGTCATTAAAGGTTGCCAATGAATTGTGTCTAATCTTCAGAAAAAAAATCTTTCGAGTTTTAACTTTTCCTGTTGTTTGATATCTCAATCAAATTAATTTGTCCAAATTCATTCCTGTCGATGATCACACTATTTTGGAATAAATTTAATTTCTTTTTTTTTTGAAAGTTTCAATTTTTTTTTGTTTTTTTTTTTTTGAATACGAAGGAAGCCAGTGGCTTAATTACAAAACACCCCTCTCAGGTGGGATGAAAAGGTCTATCTAGTACAAGACTCTCTATAATAGAAGATGGCGGAGTCGACAAAATATGAAGTTCAACGGGATAAGATAGGCCAAATTTCGCTAACGCATCCGTCATGGCATTGTTTGGTCGCCAGGTATACTCTATAAAAACTTGGGCAATCAAGAGCAATTATACTCTTGATTCTAAGGAATACATAATTATTTACAAAAGACGACTCTTCTAACAAAAACTGTACCGCCTTTAGAAAGTTTCAATTAAGTTGATAAAATTCACTAACCGAGTCCATAAGAGGTCTGATGGGCCTCAAAGCTGATAGCCCAACGATACTTCTTACCCAATCCTGGGTCTCTCAGGCTCAACTTCAAGCACTTCAAAACAAGCACATCGGCATATGGGCCTCTCATTGCAAAGTAATAATCCATAAATATAACAAAGTCATTTATTTTAGGGAGGCAACGCTCAATATTATTCATTTTCTCTCTCTACAAGTGTATAATTATCATCTCATCTCGCTATACTAACTTAATTTTTAGAGTGTTAATTTATGTTTTGCATGTCTTTGTCCTATTTGATTATTGACTCACCTTATCAGGATTTGCTTTAATCAAGATCTTGTGATTTTTCCTGTGGTACCTATACTTTTACATCCCTTTATTTACTTAAAGTAGAAACACTCGAGGACACTTGGCAACCTCAGAATCAATATTTTCCTTCCAAAAGCCAAAAGTTCTTCACCAAAAAAAATGGACACGTGCCATGTCTCTCCATATTTCTCCGGTCCCAAAATCATCAGAGTGTTCTCCCTAAAAAAAACTAATCCAATTTTTTTTGCTCCCTAATTTTACCATCGATATTCAATAACTCCAGAATATCGCACATCAGACATATTTGATTCCCATAAATATGCTTCTGCAAAATATTCAAATTACAAAAATAAGTGTCATCATCCAATACTGCTTCTTTTCACAGAATAAATTATCTCATTTAATACAGATCCTTTCCACTCTAATCTGATCCTTTTTCACAGTAATATGATTCTTTTCACAATCACCTAATCAAAATTACCTCATCAATCTCTCATTTATCATATGCAATCAACATGTTTTTACCTGTTTAAGATGGCTATTTCAAGATGGAACTGATAAAAACGTATCAGTTAGCTTTAATTTTGATCTTCAACATTGATATAACAGAACAATTTTCAAATTCTGAATCATCATATCCCTTTTGAAATTCTGAAATGTAATCTTGAAAATATACTTAGCTTCCTACTTTGAGGCTATGGTTAACGAAACTATAATTAACCTGTATAAATACATATACAGGCATCATAGAAAGCGCACCGTCTTAGATTCATTATACCATTCCCCTTTGTCCACCTTAAAGTTTGAATCAACAACCCAACCTTTTCTCAGATCCCTAATGGCTGCACCAATTCCCGCCGCTGCTGACGCCCTAGTGCCCAATGCTACTGATCCCCCAATGCTTGCTGCACAAAGATACATTGTAGACATTAATGGTCTGATCTCAACAAGAAGCAAGCATTTTTCAGATTGTTGTGCGTGTCATGTCAATTTGGAAAATGCTAGAAGACACTAAAAAGAAGGAAGTCAAATCTCTGGAGTTGTGTTTGATTGATGCTTAGGTAAAGTTAATTTACTGTGATTTGAATATATTTCATATTGTAATGCCATAGACAATATTTTTCTATTTCTTACTAATAACATGACAATGCAATATAGGGTGGTAAGATCTAGGCATTCATACCAGTTAGATTCATGAAGAATTTCATTGATCGATTCAAAGAAGGTTGTACTCGAAGGATCTCAAACTTTGATCATGCCTTGAACATAAACGGCGGTTACCGATGTGCCAAGCATGAATACAAGATTGTTTTCGAGCCAAACACGTTGGTGGAATATGTAGCTGACTTTGACACTCCAAATCATGTCTTTGAAATCGCTCCTTTTGCCGAGATAACAAATTTTGTGGCAAAGTTTGATTACTACTTTGGTAAGCATTGTTATTCTATCCCTGCAAATATGTTAATCAATATATAGCATATATAAAATCATTGCTTTGCTGTGAAATTAATAAACTAATTTCCTATAATTGAAAAACTGAATTACCTCTATGACTGCAGATGTGATTGGAGTGATCATTGGTTATAGTGGCCCTGTTGCTGAGGAAGGGAAAAAGAGGATTACCGTTGAATTGGAGCATGAAAGGTGATCTTACCAAAACACTGTGATGTTCTTTGCATAATCCAAATATTCAATAAACATGTATTTTATCAGTTCTGATATGTATGTGATTTGTTTACAGGGCTGATAGGCTTAAGATAACATTGTGGGGAGAATACGCTAACAGGATCACTAATCTTATGTCTACTGATGTGCCGTATCCTGTTGTTCTCATAGTGCAATATGTGAACTGCAAGAAGTATTATGGTAGCTCAAATTTGTTGGCCTATAGGTATAGTCAGTTTGCTACTTAATTCTGCCATGTTTGCATCAAATACTTAATGATTGTATTCTTCCAATGCTTAGGCAACACATCTGTCACTACCAATCTCTTTAATGGGAGGATATATCTAAATGATGAAAATCTGCCAGCCATATATGAGTATAAACAGAGCTAATCCTTTGATGCTTACTGAAATATCATCTAATTACTAATCTATGATAAAAAAAAAAGTTGAATGCTTCATTAACTATGATATGATTTATTATACTATTATAGAATGGAGGAAGATCAAATCAAAGAAGCCAGCATCCATAAGATATCCATTATGTCATCCATATCTGGCTACACAACACTTGAAGATTTTGTCAATGGTGCATTGTTTTTGTCACTGAATGAGATTAAGGAGATTGAAGAGGTAAAGATAAATTATAATGATGAACGTTGAAAGTTGGACATTTGTTTTCTACACAATTTTTATATAATAACAATACAATCACAATTAACTTTATTTTGTTTTAAAAGCCTGCCCTGTTGTGGTTTTTGCTAAAATTACTGGGTTAGCAAAGGAATACGATTGGTCCTATATAGGTTGCAGGGATTGCAATAGGAAAGTTGTTGATGTTGAGGATGTTGATGCACCAAGAACTGTGAACAAGTTTAGCATTGGTGCAAATGGAGTCAAACATCCAATTTTCCCAAGAAGTGGATGTGCAGTAAGCATGGACCTTTTTCAGCTGTTGGTCCTAAGTAAAAATTCTAAATTTACAACCTGAATGTTGTTTTCCCTTAAATTATCAAATCGTTGGTTTTGATCATTATCACAGTTCCACTAAAACAAGTATCTTTCACGATACAGGTTCAAACTTCAGGTTTATGTGAGGGATGATTCTGCAAGTAGGATTGTGACACTCCGAGACAGACATGTGTACAATTTCATTCACAAGACTGCTACTGAACTTCGTGAGAAGGTATGCTACAAGATATTACACTGTATTTTATTGACTTAGTCTAACTGACTCTATATAAAATCCACATTTTATTTCACTATTATAATTTCACTTGCTATTAACCAACAGGAAACAACAGACTATCCTAAGATTCTGGATGAGATAGTTTGGCAAATTATGTGTTTTCAGGCTGGATGTTTCCAAATACAATATTTACAACAACGATAGTGAGATATCTGTTTCTAGGGTCATGACAGAACCTGACGTGATTAAGAAGTATCTCGACGTTGTGTCTGCAAATCTGATAACCATATTTATGATCTTAGTATATATTATATTACTTTAATATGTGTCCATTGATTTGTTTTATATGACTATTTCAGGACATTGATGCTGAGCTAAGTGCTGAATTTGCTCATAACATTACTCCTACTCAATACAACACTGCTAAGGTGCTTTTTAATGCTTATTTAAACTAAATGATCTTCCTTCATAATCATATAGTAAAATTAATATATATGCATTCTTACAACATACCATATATGCAGACTGGGGCATCTTACATAGATGAAACCGATATTGGACTTCCAGGTGATGACACAGCTGACAGCCCTCCTCCCAAGAAGTCAAAAGAAATAAATGAAGGGAATCAAAGCGTCAAGTCTTATGCCAACAAGTGTGTCAGGAAACTGCCAACAAATTGAAGAACAATGATGTTGCTGAGTCATAGTAAATAAGATCTGGATCAGTGGGTTTTGATTTACGTATTTCATGGTTTTCATATTAAACACTATTTCAATTTGTTTGGTACTTTATTTCTACAGATCAGATTGCTGTACTGGTCCTGATCCTTGAAGCGGAGTATTTTAAGTTATTAATGTGTAATTTAAGAACAAAATAACCTAATACCACTCAACTTAATGCAAGGATACATTTTGGGTTGTAGTAGTTGTAGTAGGGTCGATCCCACGAGGAGTCGGAGTTTACAATGTTGGTTAGAGTGAAATTGAAATTTCTTATTACTTTAAACTACTCTAAACATAAAATAGAGGAAATAAATAAAAATAGTTAAAGTTTTCAACAGTCTTACAAGAAAATTCTACTAGACTACTAAGATAAACTAAACAAATAAGCGAAATATGGAGCCTAAATTATAAATAAAAATTAATAGAAAACAATTAAAAATACACAATTTGGAAGTAACTCCTAAGATATGATTAGGGTGGTTTTACCTTCTTCAATCCATGCCAATTAATGTTAAGGTCATCTTAATTAAGGAATGATATTTATTTTTCGCTCTAGGTTCTATTCCTAGTTCCTAAAATTGTATGACTAACCCTATGCATATGTGACTTAGGCAATTTAATTAACGCAATTAAAATTTTTTATTCACTCTTTCAACCTATTATGCCTAAACGAGGTTTAATAGAGTTCCATTAACAAATTCATGTTCTCTTTAAGATAAAGAGTCATTCAAGAGAGTTTAATAACACACCATTTAAATGATCAAATCAAATGACATGCATCTCCTATAGTAACCTTATTAATGGACTTAATAAACACAACCCATAACAATAATCAACATAGATATTGGAAATCTCAAACACCCATCCTCTATCTTAGAAATTCAAGAAGATTTAGCTACAAATTATAAAGGAAAAACCATTCAAAATTAATAATAAATAAGACATTATAATTGGATAAAGAGGAGAGATATTACCACTTTCTTTCATGGTGGAGAATCACCATAATCCAACAAAAACACTAAGTCCATGTCCATCCATGGCTAATCTTGAATGCTTGCTTCAAAATAGTGTACAAAATGAACAACACTATTCTACTTTGATGCTAAGATAAGAGAACCCTAGAACACTAAGCTTAGAGTGAGTTTGGAGAGTCAAAAGTCCCAAATCCGTTTGCAAAATATCAATTTATAGCCATTGACATCGTGGGGACCAAAGTGGTTAACTGGGAAAATTTAAGGACTGAATAGCATTATATGTGTGGACTTATTCGACATTTTTGAAACTTGAGGACCACGATTTGTGCAGCTTTTCCTTTCAAGCAAATAGAGGCCCTCCGATGCAAATCAACCGAGAAGGGAGGGTTAAGTTTGCAATTCTTTGAAAATTCTTTGGGAGAATTATTATTAAGGGCGTTGGAAAAACAAAAATTATTGTTAAGGGCATAGATTTTTCTATTAGTTTTAAAAGCACGCTTAATGTTTTTCTAAATGTAAAAAGACTATTTCAGCCTACCAACTTATGAATATTTCCTACTCTCATGTATTTGAATTTTTGAGGGCTTGCGGCACCTGGTGCCTTTTTGCCCCATTTTTCTTAACTCTCAAATTACTAACCTTTATAACTGCACAAATTTATTATTGTGAACTTCTGGCTTTTTTTCCCTTGCAATCCATAAAGGGCAATACTTTCAAGATATTCATCAAAACCCTCCTCTTCACCACCGACTAAATCGGATGCTACCCAAAATAAAAAGAGGGAACAAAAAAACTCCACTTCTGCTTTTGATTTAACTCCCAAAAAATAGGAACAAATTTTAATGACAAAAATAAAAAAGGATTAAGCATATTTCTGAATAAAATAGTTTTGATCAAACAAATCAGATTCCAATTGTTAGTTACTTAGTTTACTGGAGCTTCGCAACTAACTGCGGCAACGGCGTAAAGGAGGACATCTCGGTGAGGGGCGGAGAAAATTAGCACTTGAAAGCTTTGATCACATGAGGGAATTATTTGTTTAATAAGAGGGATAGAATAGTCTTTTTCACAATTAAACTAACAATAAAATCTGATTTCAATATAATAATAAATGGCTTGCCCTTAATAATAATTTTTGTTTTTCCAATACCCTTAATGATAATTCTCCCAAATTCTTTCTCCTTCCCCGTTTGAAGTCACCGGCCACCGGAATCCTCTCGCCAGTTTGTTGATCGGAGCTCCGTCGTTTATTCATGAAAACTGACAAAACTTACACCAAAATGCTCCCAAGATCTCCTCTGCCACTACCATGGAATCGTTTGGGCTTTAATTTGTGTTTTCTGATCGAATTCAAAGAGCTATAGTGCTGCATCCAAAATGCTTGTTGAAATTCCCTCATTTCGAGTCTGAGTAAGTAATTTCTTTGCCTTTTTTCTCCTGCATGGAGTCTGAATTTGGAACTTCTTTCTTTACAAAAGCTGTAGATCTTTCTTTTATCTTCAAAATGATATCTTGAACACTGAAATTGGAGTTATGGATCGAGAGTTATGACCTCTGACATGTGGATAAGGTTTCCAGAAAATCTGCATATTTCCTGAGCAGAACTGGTGACTGAACTTCTGCAGCATTTTTTGACCATTGTATCATCTGAATTGGGAGAAGTGGTCTTCATGACATCTGTAGCTCTCTCTTTCTGCTTCGCAACTGATGAGAATCATGTAGCCTTCCATGGTGATTCTCCTAGTGAGGGGAATGAGCTAGTCCTTCATTCTAGTTTTGGAATGCCAAGTTTACTTTGCAGGCCAATCAAGGAAGAGAGGATGGATCTTGACTACCTATGTGATAGGGAGTTGGTTCAAGAGAGCTATGATCAAGATGATGAGAATGTCATTAACTTTGGAGTTCAAACCAAAGGAGATGATGACCTCATGGAAATAAGTGCTCAAGAGTATCAAGGGAGTTTGACTCTATGTGCTCCATGAAGATCATTGATCAAGCTAGAGAGAAGAATCATTTAGGTTCTTGAATGGACGGCCTATTTGATTAAAGTGTTCAAGATTGAGTCCATTGCTACACAATTGGATATGTTGCAAACTATCTAAATTGTTTCAAGTGTTTTTCCAATCTTTTGGAGTCAATAAAGAGGATTCTACAAGTTTTGGAGTAAATTAGAGTTTTCTACAACTTGAGGGGCGCAAGACCAATATTTCACTTTTGGAAGGGCGTTCAAGACATTTTACTTCAATATTTGGGAGCTGAATTTCGAGAATTAGAGTTTGTCTAAGTCTAGGAGTCAATTTTTGAGTTTTATCTAGTTAGATAAACCATGTGGGCTGAATAAAGCTAGAGTGTTTTGATTAGGAGTCTTAAATTCCTTCTAGATATTATCCTACTTGAGGATAAGTTATTTAGATAAGGTTTCCTAGATTTTAGATAGAGTCAAAGAGATCAAATACTCTTCTACTTCTACTCCTTGTGAGATAAGATTAGAGAGTCCTATTTGATCTTCTTTTCTTGGTGCTGGCCGAAAATCTTAGCCTATAAATAAGGGGGATGGCCGAAATTTCAAAGCACCCTTGAGTGGTCATTTTTGTTGTCTCTTTTGAGAGTTTTTCCTGTGAGGAATTTTTGTTAAATGGTGTGTCTATTTTTCGTGTCAAGTATGATTTAACGAAGAGGGTTTTTATCTTGTCTTGGATCTTTTGATCTTGCAGAAACCGTTCTTTTTCAAGTATGCTTCTTGATAGAATTGTTTTAAAATTAAACTTCTTATTTTCATCCTACTTCTAGTAGTTCGATTGATGAGCCTTTCTTTTTGCTTGGTGTTCGAATTCATGATGAGTGTGTTCATGAGTTCCATTATGGGGTTTGTCCTACTTTTGTTGGATGAGTTGTACTTTGGCATAAGCATTTTGAGATAGTGTATGTGTTGCATATGGTTATGGAGATTACTAATCAATAGTATTCCTTCATAGTTGAGCATTGTTTGCTCCTACCTTTCTTGAGTCTCTTGAATGATGACTGATCGAGTATATTGAATGGTGTCTTTGCTATTCTTAGTGTGGTTTGTTGTTTAATTCGAATCTTTCATGGATAATGTGTTCTTTGCTTGGTTTGAGTTAAGAGATAGAAATCACTTAGATAAACGATCGTCTTGTGAATTTTCCGCACTCTTTTGAGTTTCACGGGATAGACAAATTATCTTTGTACTTTCTTGTTTGATGGTTGCATTAACGAAATTTGCTTCATCTATGAGATTGCTATCAGCAATGTTATAAAGAACTTTTAAATCCGAGCTGGGGACATCAAGTTACACTCTCTGCAATTTGACTAATTGTTGCTGAACTTTGGCAAATTTCAGGGTTCAGTTCTGACAGTTGAGATTTCAACTGCAGTTTTGATCATTAAAAAGCCTGAATTTGAAGAAGTGTTCTGCATGAAAGTTGTAGTTCGCACTCTGAGCTTGGTAGGCGTATTTGGTTGGTTCCAAATGGAGGCTTCTAGCTCAAGTTATGAGCCCTTCAAAGTGGACCATTCGCCGTTGATCAACACTTGTGAATTTTTGGTCTTTTGAATGATATTTTTGCTCCATTTCCGGACCATTTTGCATGGATCATTCTACAATGAAAGACCACAAAACATAAGATATGTGCATTTTTACACGTTAACACCATACAATGAGTCTATATTTAAGTAAAAGAGGTATGAAATCACATATATATTTGATTCACATTAATCCTGATACTTTTCTTTATTAATTTTTCATCATTTGGATGCTATCAAGTTTTTCAGGTTTTGTCTTTCCTTTTAAAGTAGTATTTTGAAATCAATATAGTTTAGTGTTTGATGACTAACAGATTGATGTTTTTCAAGTTTTCAGGTTTTGTATTCTTAACAAAGATCATATAATCTTTGTTGGGAACATTATAAATGTTAAAAACCTTTATTATAGTAGTTTTTGCTTATAATATATGTTTAGCTATGATTACCTGGATATGAAACAAGTGACAGCCCTATTCCAAAAAAGTCTACATCTCTTCCCAATTGTGATGAAGAAAGTGTGAAGTATCATCCCAACAAGCATGTCAGGAAGCTCTGAATAGTCTGAGCAATAATCAAATCCCTGTTTCCACAATAAAGGAAAAATCTTTAGAGTCTAGATGTATCAATTTCGAGACTATACATTCAGTTGATAAATTATCAATATTTCATTCTGATTGTCATGGTTTCATATCAAAAATCTGTTATAATGAAGTTTTTATGATACATTTGAATTTTATAGCTTCCAGTTTCTTTAATACCTAATTTTGATCTTAGTTATATTAAATGCGCTGATGATAATAAGTTAGCAAATCATACCTTAAGATATATCAGCTGACAGTCCCCCTCCAAAAAAGTCTACATCTGTACATTGTTCAATGTAATAGTGTTAATCAAGAAGCTCTGATCAGTCTTTTTAGGATTGAAATGAATGATGAAATAGTAAGTAAAGGGGATATAAGTAATACAATATGTCGTAGTAAAAAATAAAAATGCCATCATTTAACACTAATAATATTTACTCAGGGTTGTATGGTATTGAAAATGTTCATCAAATTGGTTTCAACATTATAATTATCATTCCCTATAAATCTGGAAAACATGAAATTCAATTCATCTCTGAGTTATTCAGATATTCATGAATTTTATTATATATTTACTGCATAGGTTATTGTAATACAATCAAGTTACTAGAATAATATATGATTATGGTCTCTTTATAAAGGCTACCAAATTCAAGGTATGGTAAAGATAGTGGTCATCAAACATGATTGAGATCGCTGTCACAAAATCCTCGTAATGGCGATTCAATAGTACTTATTAGTAACAACAATAGTTTCAATGTTTCAAGCTGGTTCAATCAGGATAGAAATGCAATTTTCCTTGGTGGAAAGCAATGGGTAGCTTTTGTGACGTCACTCAAATTGCTGACAAAAAATATGCCCTGTATTTTACAGTTCAGGAAACAGGGGTTGTCCATGTTTTTGCTTTTAACAATTTTGGTGCTTTAATAATTCCCCCAGTCCCAAGAATTTGTTGGGATTACTACAGCAACATCAAGGATCATATGGTATAAAGCATATTTTCTTTTCAAATGTTTAATCATATAAATCTAGATTGAATCTAATTTGTTTTCTCAAATTGTAACACAATACCTTTTATTGCTATATAGATCATTCCATTTGATTTCAGTAATTTATTGATGGAGGATCATGTTTTAATCCATGACGATGCTTCTTTTTGGTCTATCGATTTTGGAGAGTACACCTGTACAAATTGACATATCATATGCGGAAGAAGATAATGGTGATCGAGTGCTTCTTGGAGGTTCTGAATGGAAGAAAATGTTTTCAGATAACAACGATTTGTTGATGGAAGCTCAATGGACAATTTTGAAGTACGATGGAAACATGCGGTTTGAAATTCTTTTTTAAAAACAAAATGGCATGGAGATTGCTGGCCCTACCACTCTGTTACTTGAAGACCGTTTCATGACTGTTATTTGTGATAATCATTATGTACAGAAAGCAATTGTAAGTTCAATTATTTGTAACAGAGTGGTTTTATTTACATGACTGAACAAATGATTCCTTTTTTCATAACAGATTTTGTCTATTTTACAGACGATTCCAACAAGTTTCTAGCATAGACACAGGGAGGTTGTTGGCAAAAAAATTGCCAATATACAGACGACTACAAGAGTCTATCCAATGAATATGAAGAACCTCTTTATATTGGGAAACGATTCTCTCAAATCAAACTGGTTGGGAACTGGATGAATCTACTCAATGACAATGGATTTGCAAAAGGAAGCCAATTTGAATTTAATCTCGACAGGGATACTATTCAGTCAAGGAAGACATATTTCGATTTCATATTAAAGATAGTCAATTGATATGTATTAATTCTAGGATTCTCAATAATGAATGTTATATTGGTACTGAGTTTGCATACTTATTTCAGATTTCTTTATACATGTTTAATGTTTTGAAGTTCTCTGACTATAAAATTCACTTTAATGTATTCCTAGGGCATTTTATTATATGTAAAATTGTTAGGTTTCAAAGACCTTTCAGTTTTCTGTAACAATGGGATATACTGTTTTAACTTAAAAATTAGTTAAAATAATTGGCTACAATCATATAATAATAAAATAGATAAAAAAGTAGATAAATACTGAGAAAGAAAAGGTCTGTAAAACCTATTAATGTGGGAACTGAATCATCATATTAAATAAAAAACTGATCCTATAATAATTCCTATCATAAACTCCTAATTTTTAGGGAACATCAAGGGACGTTAATTAGGAGACTACCACCAGTAAATAAATAGCGTTGAAAAGCTTCGTCAATTTTCATAAACCACACAATCATCTTCACATCATCTCCATATACAAACATCTTGACATCATCTCCATACAAATTCTCACTCCCTATCAAACCGTACAGAGGTTTGTTCTACCGTCATCGTTCATAGGTGGTGACAGATGGAAACATGAAAACTACATTGATGCAATAGCTGTTGTTAAAACTTATGGATATCCAGATTTTATTAACTTTCACATGCAACAATAAATGGCCAAAAATAATCAGATACTACAATAAAAAACAGTTGAAGCCTGAAGATAGAACAGACATAGTTTCACGAGTCTTCATGATAAAACTTTATAGACTAATGCAGGATATTAAAAGAAAAAAGGTTTTTGGTCGTCAAGAAGCAGGTATTTGCATCAATAATTTTTTTAAAGGATTGTTTTCTGATTATGTTTTCATATATTATTGAGAAGGTTTTCTTATTAATTAATCCTAACTACAATTTTTTAAAATCACCAGCTGTATACACCGTCGAGTATCAGAAAAGAGGTCTACCCCATGCACATATAGTTGTATGGTTGCACAGGGATGACAAACTTCAAGGACAGAAGAAATTGACAATTTCATAA